CTACATGGTTTCTTTTCTTATTACCTACAGAGCTCAGTGGAACCAGCTGAAGGTTCAGCAGATGGTCGGTTCCTGCAGATGTGATCTGATGTAGAAATAAACTAGTTCTAACTTGGTCTTTGAGGGAGAGGAGTTGAAATGATGACAGATGGAGGCAGAGGTGATGAAGTCTGGGTTTGGAATTTGAATTATATCTTTGAATTATAGCAAATTCAAACATTTGGTCAAAGCTTTATTAGAAATTCCTGTAAATAAACATTGTCAGTCTTTTGAATAAAAAGAAAAATAAAGATAGAAGCAAAATAGTGCAGAATAATCTAATTAAAAAAGGACAAAAAATTCAGGATCTGAGCAGAGCTTTAAAATTAATAAAGGTTTTAAACTTGAGTGTGCTGACCTCTAGTGGTGAACTGGCATCATGCAGATCATGCAGCCGATTTCATTGTTTTTTTTTTTAATTAAAAATAAGCTTTAGATACACAGATTTAAAAAATCTTGTAATTCTTCATAAGTTTTACTTCTCATAAATGTCATGGTTTTAACATATTTAAGGAGTTTGTTGCCAAGATTGTGTCTAAAAAAAAACTAAGCAAATAACTAAACAAATGATCAATAAACAAATGTATTCTTCTGTATCTAGTAATAAAGTAAACAGGATTTCTATATATCATTCTTGTGTTCAGCCTGTTGATATCAGGCAGGACATCTCTGACCTCAATGAAGGAACTACAGCTGCTGTCAGTGGACTCTTTCCGAGTCCAAATCTGTTCCCGGCGTTGTGAGCATTAGTTGTGTCTCACTCATCTGGAAACGTTGAGGCCTGTGGGAGTCTTATTTTCAGTTTCTGTTTCAGAGATGGGGAGTTAGGGACGGGATTCGAGTCACAATTAAGTTCCATATTTAATATGCTGGTGAAGATTCTCAGTCATCCAGGTCATAGTCATTTCGTAAAAGTTTAAAAAACAATCCACTAGACTTTGTTTCCAAGGTTTGAAGATGTTTTGCTTTCCCTCCAGGAAGCTTTCTCAATTCAAAATGTCTGGATTTGCAGTGAAGTTGAGGCTTAAACATGCAAACTGAAACTGACGAGCAGGTCATTTGGTCCCATTGTTAGCCTGTAATCGGTCTTTTACAGTGTGCGTCACTTCCGCAAAAGCGCAATGCATTTAGGGTAGTTGACGCCATTTCTGTGGTGAAGAGACAGCAGCAACAAACAAAAGAAAACTAACAGAGAGCAGACGTGTTCTAGTTGCTTCCTTTGGAAATAATGGGACACTGGTGCTGCGTCAAAGGATGAAATAGTAATTCTAAACAGAAAACAGCAGATGGTGCCTTATGGTTTTTCGTATTCCCCACTTGGAAAAAAAATATGGACCGCAGACAGAGGACTTAACAAAAAGGCGTCGGGCTCCGTGGGTCGCTGCTGTAAGAAGGAAAGACATCACGTTTCATAAAACATCTCCTCATGCTCGTGTTTGCTCTCGGCATTTTCACAAAGTTAAGTCCTTATAAATATACACTAATAGAAATCAACATGCTGAAATGGTTTGCTTATAAAGTTGCAGGAGTTCATGTAAACCTACTGAAACATGCTGTGGAAGAGAAGCGGAAAGTGATGTTTGTTTTATTTCTTTTTTAGACCGCTAAAATTTAATAAATAATGCATTCTCTGTATATAATCATTTACACAATCTGCAATACAAATATATTTTTTTAAATGAATAAATATATATAAATACACTGTACATATAAAAACACTGTACATACCCACTCGTCAGCCAACTCACTGTATTTATTCATCCTGTGCAATCTACTTAAGTTTATTTATTATAATCCTTTGTTCGTCCTGTAAGCTTTTCAGTTTATTTATTTACCTCTGGCCTTACTAATCCGATGTACTTGTGCTGTTTCGGTATAGCAAATTTCCCCACTGTGGGAAACATAAGCATATCTTATTTTATAACACATCTAATCTAATGGGCTCTGTTATTAAGGTGCTTTATATAGTGTTTTGAATAGATGTGTAAAACACTCAACCTTTCATCTACTTTGCAGGTCAACCCGCATATGAGATGATGGAGACTGACCCAGACTGGGCTCCATCCCTGCATCTGGGCCACACTGACATCAAACCAACAGACACAGACCGCTCTTTAAGATGTGGTTATCGGGAACAGCTGAAAAAGAATGCCCTGCAAGCAACTGAAACGGGGCTCCATCAGGCTGATGAAATCCTTGAGCAACAGGATGAAGTAACACATGAGGCGACAGTGAACCCTAACCAGCAACAGACTGACACGCAGAAGGCTGCTGAAAACGTTGGCCGGCCAAACACCAAGGATGACACAGAAGGTGGTCGTCAGGAAGGACAGACAGAATGTAACCTGTGTGTGCTCAGGTGTGCAGAGATGAACCGTCTTTTGGAAGAAAACAGAGGGCTGCGGCGTGAACTTGATGAGCTGCGGATCTCTGATGGCTTCTTTGGAGACCGTAATGAAAAAGTCAAGTACTATACGGGTCTACCAAACTTGGTGACCTTTATGGCTTTGTTTAATTTTCTGCTGCCTCTCATGTCTGCTCAAAATAAAATTCTCAGTCCATTTCAAATGCTTCTGTTAACCTTCATGCATCTGAGATTGGATCTGCCCTCACAACACCTTGCTTATCTCTTCTGTGTTTCACCAAAGACAGTGTACAGAACATTCAATGAAATGGTGTCATTTTTATATGCAAATCTAAAGCGTGCAATTGTGTGGCCAGATAGAGACACCTTGCACAAAATTATGCCTCATCAGTTTGTGGAGGCCTTTGGACATAGAGTCACAGTGATTATTGACTGTTTTGAAATTTTCACAGAGAAACCAGCTAATAGATGAATGCCAGATCAAGTACTGTTTCAACTTTATTCTTCTTTTTTTATTCTTCTTTTCACACAAATAGAATTTTGCTTTTTTTAAAGTTACTTTTGAAAAATAACAGCAAAACAAATATAAGTTTCACCATCACTTCAAATATTAACAATGTTTCTGAAGTTGTAAAAATGTGTGTACAATAAAGAGTGGATTTGAAATTTGAAACAAGTGTTGTTATTATCTTTTCAATCAAGCAGAGGATTTATGAAAATGCAATACAAAATCTCAAATACATAAATAATACAGAACAGTGCAAAGCTTCAAATGTTTTACTTTGTCTTCCTCCCTCGTATATAGCAGATTGCTCTTTAGATTAAATTAGAAGATTTTCATTTTCCCAGGACTTGTTTTCACTGTGGTCTTCCGTAGAGATATGACCTAACAGGTGATATCTGTGAAGAAGACTGCAGATCCCAGTGAAAACCGGCCTGGGTAAAGTGAACAGCAAATACAGTGTGCAACTTATCAATGTGCAAAAATTATGACAAGTTTTTCCATTCAGTCTGATGAGCAGCACAAACTACTCTAATAACTGCAGCGATCTGTGCAACTGCCCACAACATCTGCCTTGTCACTGTAATAATAATATATAATATCGTTCCCTAGCAGCTTTAGAAAGTTTGTCTGGGTAGGGTATCCGTTCAGTTTTCTTGTTCTTTTCCATTTAACTGATAATCCTCACTGCTGGCTTGCAGCGCTCTCCTCTTATTTTCTGCTGTTTTGTTCTTTTTCCACTCACCACAAAAATGGCGCTAGGGGGCGTGTCAGTCACGTCACTGACAAAGACCGATATCTGAAACCTGTCTATGATTCTGAAGGTCAGTCGTTAAAGGGGGGGATTGTTCACCTGGCTGTACCACTTGGGGGCGGCAACGGGAGCCATGCGGCTGCCGCGCCAGCAGGAGGGGGGGGGATAATGGAGACAAACACTTGTTGTTCCAACAACGAGCGGAACATCTCCTCGTGTTGTGTAGGTTTGCTCGGAGGGGGAGCCCGCTCGTGGTTCTGCTGGGTCAAACTGGCCTGATGGTTCTGTCATGATCGAGGGGATTCTTCTGACCGACATGCAGGAAACCACCAGCAGGACAAAACTGATCGATTTATCTTATTTATTTAACAGAAAACAGTATCCGAGCTTGGTTCAGACAGATCAGCTACTTTGTTCCAGAAGAGGAGCCGATCTCAGAGGGGGCTTGTGGATTGGAAAGTAGGCTAGAGACCAAACGGTGGAGAGCGGGCAGGCAGACGGAGTAACAGCAGAGCCAACTGAGTCAGACCATCAGGCGGTGAATGGTCGTCCAGCTGCTCCTTATATGTGCTGCACCAGATGAAACACAGGTGTGCCACCTGTCGGGTTGGCACGCCACCTGTCGGGTTGGCACGCCCTCCAAATTAATTTTTAATTGTGGTTCAATAGAAATATTAATAATAAACAAACAAAACAAGTAAGCCAACACCATTGAGTTCATAAACTAAAATTTTGAGCATTACTTTGAGTGAATCACTTCAATCAGGTGTTTTCTTCAATGTTTAGCCAGATTTCTACTCCTGTTAGTGAAATATTCTAGACCAATGTGCTCTAAGGTGTCTGGGAATGTTTGTTAAATCACTGTTTATAAAAACACAATTCAAGAATCACTATTTCAATCCATCAAATATAATTTTGTATGTTTTTATGTATATTTTTTCTAGTTTCTTATTAGAATTGCTGTTGTGAATTTATCCTTTCTTTATCGGGAGTGTGTAACTTTCAAGCACAACTTTATATATTTACCTTGTTAAATAGAATCTATTTTAGGATTGCCAGTCCAGAGAGGGAGCGGTGTCTAAGGGGAAGGAGAGGAGCAAGGTGGAAGGTCAGGTAAAGCAAGCTAAGTTTTGGTACAGCCCTTCTTAGAAGACAAAAACCTCAGATATGATGTGTTGGTAAATGATTGAGGCAGTTATTGGCAGAAGGCAAGTTCCACAAATATAGAAAATGTATGTAGAAAACAGTGAAATGTTCTACTTAAGGTTTTTTAATCCTATAAATGCGGTTCAACCAGCTGCCCTTCTCCCTTACCAAGATGGCGGCAGCGCTGACGCATCCGTCCGGAAGTTGTCGCCCTAAGGTCCCCCGGAAGTAGCGCTGAGCAGTTGTTAGCAGCTAGCTTGCTTTGTGGACCGTCCGGTCGGATCTCAGGCCAGTTTGGATCAGCAGCTGCAGGAATGGGTTCAGTTCTTCCTCTCAGAGACTTTATCAGGCAGAGACTGGATGCTGCTGCGGAGGAGATCTTCTCCGAGGTGGAGAAAACCATCATCCGCCTGGAGGAGGAGCTGGCCGCCCAGAGCAAGCTGCTAGCTGTGTGCCTGAAGCCGCAGGTCAGGCTGCAGAGGCTCGGTAGGTCTGATGTTCATCTGCATCTCTGGAGGTTCCTCTCACTTAGATCCACATTACTAGATGTTCCCACTGTAGAAACACACCAGACTAACCTCCCAATCAATGAGGGCTCAGATTCATGTGGGTTTAATGACTGTTATTATCAGCAGGGCCGGATGTGGGAGAATATGGGCCCCTGGGCTGCAGATGTGGAGCAGAAGGTTCCTCTGTAGCAAAGGTGTAGGGTGGGGGGGTTCTGAGGGTGGGGGCAGATGGACCTACAGTTACTCCACCTGAATGCTTTCATCAGGTTTTTGTATTTTCTAAAATTGAATTCTTTCCTGTTGTTGAGAACACAAGGAACCACAATACACTGATATTTATGTTTAAAGATGTTAGAGAGATGCTTTTAGTGCATTATGTATGTAATGGGTTTTAGAAGATGTAGATTAAACTAGAAAAAGCTGTTTCGCAGAAACAGCAAAGTGGGAATGCTTTTTTTGCTGAATGAAAAGAGAAAAATTAGCTAAAGAAACTGTGACAAGGAAAAGAAACACAAATTAGCCGAGGAACATATGAATATGTGACAGGAAGTTATCAGAAACTTCAAACTGCAGAAAACATTTGAATCATCTGAAGATTTTGTAGAATCATTTGGCAGTAAAATGGCAGAAACAGACTCATCTTAAAAGCTGCACAGCCAAACCATACATGATATCCAAAAATGTCTTTAATGTGTGCACTAGAAGGGTCTAAATGTAATGTCTCACAAGTTTCTAGAAAAAGTTCTAAAGAAATTTTGAAGGGGTCCACCTACTTTCCAGAAACATGCCAGGCGTGTTATGAATTAGCAGCAAACAGAAAAGCTTAATTCCTGTCCAGAAAGAGAGCAGAATGAAGCCAAAGTTCTCAGCATAGGCTGAAAAGTATGAAATTAGCTGAATCAGAAAAGAAATTACAAAGAAAAACTTGAATCTTATCTGGTTGAAGAAGATATGAGTAGCTCAAGGATGGGAAGTAAAATGTTGAGGAAGATGGTATTGAATAAGTATCAAAATTTTGAACATGTGGAAATGTCAAGACTTTGACAAAACAATTTGAAACGATTTAAAATGTGTTGGTTGATCAGCATAAAGAAAACAGCGTCATCCTTAGAGGATTGAAAATCTACAAACCTATGTGCAAGACCGACCATGAGAAGCAGAGGAAGGACAGAGAGAGAAGCTTATAGAAAGAGAGCTAATACCACTTAAGGAGCTGAATTTATCTAAAAAACTAACCTGCATGTAACGAGCCACTGTGGTGATGAAAGCACCATTGGAAGGCTTATTCTGCATGTTACGATGTTAGCAGATGCTTTATTACAGTGTAAATCTTAGAACCTGATTAAGAAATATGCACTGAGGTGTGTGGTCATCAGGCCTTAATAGTGTAATTTGAAGAAATTGGTTGAGTTTGGGTCATAGCTACGAGCCATACGGCACAATGAATGAGTGTATGTAAGGAAGAGGCTTTTATTTTGTAGAGTCCCTTTAGTCTTATTTTGAAAGTCTATCATGGATGTGTGTCAAGGGAAGGGTCATGCCCAGCAGTGATATAGAATCCATTTCTAAACACGAAATCACTGGTTTTCCATGTTATTGGGTGAAAAGATGCTGTATTAAGGAGTAAATGGGAGACTTTTATTGTGAAATTTGCTCTGGGGTATGTTTTGAAAAGGTCCCTAGAGTCTAATAGAAACAAGCTGGTAGAGTTTGGGTCATAATGCTGGGCCATTTGCATCAATTAATACACGAGTACAATATGGAGGCTTTTATTTTGAAGAGTCACTGGAGTCTTATTTTGAAAGTCTAGCAGGGTTGTGTGTTGAGAAAAGGGTCAGACCCAGCAGTGATACTTGATGACTTTCTAATCGTTAAATCACTCTTTTCCCTTGTTATTAGGGCAGTAGATAAAGTGGCAATGGGAGGCTTTTATTTTGAAATTTTCTGTGGGGTGTGTTTTGAAAACCCCCTAGAGTCTCATTTTTAAAAAAGCGGTTGAGTTTGGGTCATAATATTTAGCCATATGCTGGGAACAAAAATATGAGTTTAATGTAGGGGCTTTTATTTTGAAGGGTCCCCGGAGTCTTATTTTGAAAGTCTATCAGGGTTGCGTGTGAAGGGAAGGGTCATGGCCAGTAGTCATATTGTATCCACTTCCTAATGTTAAATCAGTATTGTCTCCCTCCATTAGATTAAAATGTGCTGTTTAAAGTGGTGGAGATAAAATCTCTTTGAAGCACGGTTACCTTGACAACGCTTAACGAGCCTGTCAGTGACAGAGAGACATGCGCTTCACTTTTGTTCCTTAGTTCTCAGGCTTTTTTGAATGGGATTATCAGCTCCGAACAAACGAGTGCTGAAGACAGACCGTAAATGGTATCTAAAAAATTCTTTCAGTCTAAGCGAGAGCTATCCTTTGTCTCCGATTGGGGTAACTTTCATGGATGTAGCTCATTCACAGCCTTAATGGGAAGGAGAAATATAAAGGTTTATAAATCCTGCTGGTCTCATTGAATAACATGCAGCTCAATGGTAGAGCAGAACTCTCAAAAGCAAAACTTTCCCTGCGAACAAACGAGCGGTGAGCCAAAACCGTAAAAGGTATTCAAAAAATTCTTTCACCGTGAGCGTCGGCAATCTTTGGACTACAACTGGTCTTTCATATTTCTACAATATTTGGTCTAGGCGTGGTGACGATGTAAAAAAGTGTATAATTGTCAAAATCTTGATTTTGGGGTTCGGACAGATTTGTTACCCCCGAACAAACCTTTTTCCTAGCTAAACGATAAAAGATATCGACACACTTCCTTCAATGTGAGTGCTAGGAAGGTCTGAGGAACAACTTCCACAAGGCTCATGTTGCTACGTCGAATGGTTCCCGAATGGGAGCGATACGAAAAAGTCTGTTTTTATTTATTTTTAGTTCGGCTTTTCAGAGAGCTCTCATTGGATTTCTATGGGGGAAGTATGGACTTCTTCTTGGTCTGGGCCAAACTGTCGGAAAACCGTAAATCCCACACAAATGAGGGTTACATTTCCTGAATCCTGACAAAAATGCCTACGTTTTGATGTAAAATTGTTATTTCAATTGAGTGAAAAATGTGGGAGTGAGAAGAATTTGTTCGGAAAAACCAGAACAGCTCAAAAGCTAGAGCACGCACTCTGACAGTTGAAGAATTCCGTCCATAGACCTCCATTATAAATCTGAAAATCGTTAAAATTTCTTTTAAAGTTTGAAGCTTCACTGAAACAAAACTGAAAGTTAGCAAAAAGCTGAGTTAAACAGTAATAGCAGAAAGATACAGAAACATTTTAAAAGTTGAATGGTGTTTCTAGCTGAAAGTATGCTGAAGTAGTTGAAGGTCAAAGATGCAGAAGTTTTTCCTGAATTTTGCTGAAATCTGAGAATTCTACATGCATTTCAATGGGTCCAAAAATCGCAGAAAAAGCTAAATATCGCAAAAAGAAAGAAATATCTTAACCAAAAGATATAGCGCAGCTCTCCAGAAGAAGCTGAACGTTTTGATACCAAGTTTGTTGAAATCGGCTGAAAATTGCAGAAGTAGTTGAATACCAAAAAAGCGTACGGAAGACGGAATTCTACTAAAATATGTTTTATAGTTATTTGTGATGAGTGGTGTTTGGCGCCCCCTACTGGTTGGCATATAAATACTGGGAACGGCTGACAATTCCACAGAATGTGTTTGGCCCCCAGCTGTGGTGAGTGCTCCGGTCTGGCTATCTTCTTTGTAGAGTTGGGTATCCGAGGGATTGCTGGACTTTTTATTGCATTCCAGCTGTTGGTGAACCACAGGGGAGGCTAACCAGAGGATTTGTTTTTCTCTACCATTCATTACAGTAAATCTTTTTTTTTTTAAACCCAACTGTCTGGCATCTGATCTGTGCATGACAGGATGGCTAAGAGAGGAGCTGTGACGTATATATACAGCCCAAAAACATTGATGTATAAAAAAATAACCAATAACAGCCGATTCTGATGCCAAAATCAATAAATCATGCATCACTAGTAGGGTTGTCAAAAGTATCGAAACTCAAAAAAGTATCGATACTGAAACGTTGTATCCGGATACAATACTCGTTTTTGAAAGTATCGATACAGTGCCGTCACCAGTGGCACCTAAGCAGTCATTCATCTAAAGTGCAGAATAGAGGACAATGCACTTTCTGAACATTGTGTGATTGAATAATTCTGTGCTCTTTTCGGTTTCAGACTTTTTTTTTGTAAGAGGTGCAGCTGCTAAGACTTATTTTTGTTTCTTAACCGGTTTGGCTAGTGTCATTGTTATGTGTGCAAAGCATAGCCAAGGAAGGAACACTTAATTTTATACGTTTTTTATCAAGCTTGCATAATATTATGCACAGCATACAACCTTTATTGTGTTTATTTATTGTATTTTATTTATTAATGAAAAATATTTCTGTTGAATTTTGGAGTCTTTGTTTTTATCCTCGTGGTATCGAAAATGGTATCGAGTATCGAATATTTTCCTTAGTATCGGTATCGAGTTGAAAAGTTTAGTATCGTGACAACCCTAATCACTAGTAAAACAATTTAAATTCCATCCATCCAGAAAAATATGGATATGCTAGATTTTAATTATAGAATAGTGTATTTTTTTCTTGAACATGGATATATATTTTATTGCATGTTGCATAACCCAGTAAATCTGTTTCTCCTTTAAATCTGCAGCTCTCCCTGTTTCTCTCTGTTTAAAAAGATTTATGAACCTCTTTACTAATATAATGATGCTAGAAACTACATTTCTAGATCTGTAGAAGCTCTGCAGTCTGATTCTCTGTTCAATAAGAAAACATGTTAACCTGGAACTGGGAGTCATGGTCCTCCAGTGTTTCCCACAGGATTTCAGGAGACAGTGGTGGGAGAGTCTCTGACCCTCGGGGGTTTTCATGTGTGCACATTTTTAAGCGTGGTGTATCCCACCTAAAGGGGAACGC